AAAGCTCTTTTGTTAGTTATAATAAGTACTTCATTTGTTTCTTTTTTAACATCACTTAGAAGCAAATTTTCGTATAACAGTTTATCGAAAAAAGGCCCAAAAAATCAAATCAGCCGATATGCAAGTATTAAAAACTTATAGATCAATAACAGAAATTAAAAAAAGAAAAAAAAAGACTTGCTTGTAGAGTGAATATATTAGTCAAAGTTCTAATAGAAAATTAATACAAATTTGATTTAAGACATATTAGCAAAAAGATTGAAAAGAGTCAAAAATTAAAAAAGGAAAAAAAAAGATATAATATTAGAGATAGTAAAAAGGATCTTAGTAGAATTGTTCAGAAACTGGAAAATCTTCATCAAAATACAAAAGAAGTTTTTAAAAAGAAAATTAAATTCTAAAAAGAAAAAAAAAAAAAAAAAATACTCAAATTCAAAACAGGAAAAAAAGAAGACTCAAACAAACTAATCAAAGCTTAAAAACAAAAAAACTAAAAGAAGACCCAAGATAGTTAGAAGAAAAGAAGATTTACAGAAGAATACTTCTAAAAAAGACTCTTAGAATAAGCTTTTTAGAAAAAAGAAAAGAATATAGAGCCACAAAACAAAAAAAAATATATAAAGAGAAGGATATAAAAAGATTTTTAAAAGCTAGATCTCTGATTGGAAAAAACAGAATAAATTAAAAGAAAAGAAAAAGAAAGCACAAGTGTAATTAAAAGAATTTTAGTAATAATTCTTTAGTAAAAAACAAATTAGAATTGGTTATTAATATAAAATTAGAATTAAATTATTGTTTTAAAGAGAAGGATAGTTTAGAAGAGAGAAATTGCTAATTAAATATAGTTAAAAATTCTTTTAAAATTAAAACTATCTTGTTATAGTTTTACTAGCTAGCTTAGTGTAACTCTCTAATATGAGCAGTAGCTTTAACTAATAAGGTAAACTGCATTTAGATATCTATAGAGAAAGCTGAATATTGTTGAATCTATAATTTAGATAGTCTAGAATATACTTGTATATATGCTTTGATCTAATAAAAATATCAGCAAGACTACTGATATATGTAAAAAAAATAATTTAAAAATTTATTTATATTATAATATTTTTAGAAATTGCTATTATTTTTTCTATTTTTGTTAATACTACTCTCTTATATAATTTAATTATAATTAATAATTAAAGTTAAAAATATTAAAAACCAAGAGAGTGTGATAACTTAGTGAAGTAATGAAGTTGTTATACCCCAAGCAGCACATCAAAGATTCAAATTCTACTGATAATAAAATTTGAATATTCTGTTATATATATTACAATTACTATTACAGATTAAAATAAAATCAAATTAAAATGAAATTGGTGACCTTTTTTGCTTATTCTTAAAACTTATAAAACTCATATATACTCTTTTTTTAATAACTCTAACCCTAAACTCTATTTCTAATACTAAAACAAACCTCCAAAAATATCTCTCAAAAAATTTTAAATTTTCTTTAAAAAATAAAAAAAATTCATTTTAATTTAATTTTATTTTAATCTATTACAATTACTGTCTCAATGAGTTAGATTGCTAATTTGTTACCAAGTATTATCAAATACCTAGAAAGAAGATTAGATATTTGTGCAATATACAAATTATACAAAGGCATGCAAGCTAGTATTAGTTAGTACAAACCCATAATAAGTTCTAAAAAGTTATATAAAGTCAAAAAACTAAAAAATAGATATCTGCTTGAGAAGTTTTAAAAAGAAAAATAGTACAAGTTTGAATAATACATACTAGAATAGAATATACTTGAGCTAGTATAATTAAATGAGGATCAGATATTTAGCAAAAATACTCTACCAACCAAGTTGCCAAATTATCAACTAAAAAAAAATTTGCTATACAGATATTAGAAAACTAGTATCTCTTTTAAGCTATCTAAATTAGAAATCTAGAGAAACTAGCTAGAAATATTGAAAAGAAAGATACCAATAAACTTGAAGAGAAGTATCAGAGTAAAGAGTAAATAATGGTAGCAGAACTAAAAATCACAAGTTTTAGTTTTTAGATTAGATCATAAATTAGAGATATAACAAAAATCAGGTGATTTTTTAGGAGGAAGAAAGGTAAAAAAGTTAAAATTATATATAAAAACCTGATTTTTTTATATTAAAAGAAGAAGAGAGTAAGCTTTTAATAAAAAATAATTAGATAATAAATGATACTTCTTTTACTAAAAATTCAGATAATATATATGTAGAATATGAACTATTTTGATAGATTTACTATGAGAATAAAATTGTTCTAAAGAGTTATAGCAGATTTGTTTAGAAGAAAATATTCTAATAGTGTTAACTTAAATTTAATCAAAGAGTTTAAATAAGAGATTCACAAGCAGATTTTAGATATAGCAATTGGTAGATAACTATAGATAGAAATAAATATAATAAAACTCTTAATTAGACAATAACTAAAATTATATATATGATTAATTATACTCTTATTAATATAACAATATCAGATATAGCTATAGCTATGCTAATATTTGAACCTAAGAATAAATAAAATATGCTCAATTCCAAAGTGATCATCTTAATATTAAAAAAAAAATATATTAAAGACCAATCAAATTAATATTAGCAAAAATAAAAATAACAATAACAATTTTTTTAATATTAAATAATCTTATAGTAGTTTATTTTAAATAATTTTACTATTTTTTTTTGTATTAGCAATCTCACCAGTATCTTTATTAGATCAAAGCAAATGTATAAGTATATTTTAAACTATCTAAGTTGTAGATCTAATATTACTTAACTTCGTCTATAGGTGCCCAAGTATAGTTTGCTTTATCAGTTAAGATTATTGCCTGTACCAAAAGGTTATATCAAGCTAGCTAACAAATTATAACAAAATGATTTAATTTAAAAAAATTTTTAACTATATTTAATTAGCAATTTTTTTTTAATATATCCACCTCTTTAAAACAATAATATATTTTAATTTTATATTAATAATTAATTCTATTTTATCTTTTACTAAAAAGTTATTATTGAAATTCTTTTAATTATACTTGTGCTTTTTTTTTTTAATTTATTTTGTTCTTTTTGATCAGAAACTTAACTTTTAGGAATCTTTTCATATTCTTATCTTTATACTTTTTTTGTTTCGTAGCTTTGTATTCTTTTTTTTTTTTAGGAAGCTTATTCTAAGGATCTTTTTTAGAAGTATTCTTCTGTAGACCTTTCCTCCTTCTAATAGTCTTAGGTCTTTTTTTGATCCAGATTAAATGTAATATAGCTTGCTCCTTTTAAAAAAATATTGAAATTAATTATTTTCTTTAGTTATTTTATCATATATATATTGTAATTAGTATTTTAATTAATATTAAAAAACTAATTTAAAATTTTTTATTATAATATAAAGTAATTTATTTAAATATTTTTAAAGATTTATTAAGAGGTAAGCTATACTACATTTAATCCTTTGATCCTTTTGTTTCTAAGTTTTGATTAGTCTGTTTGGGTTTTTTTTCTTTTCTATTTTGGATTTGAGTATTTTCTTCTTTCTTTTTTTTTTTCTTTTTCTTAAAACCTGGTTTTTTTCTAGAAACATCTCTTATATTTCAATAAAAACTTTCTGGTTTCTAAACAATTCTACTAAAAAAAATAGAAATTCTTAATTTAGACTATATTCAACCAATAATTTTATAAAAGATATGTTGCTATTTAATATATAAATATCAAAATTCTGTAATTAGATTGAATGATTTTAAGCTTGTTAAGAGTAAATAAATATAGATCATTTTTAATAATAATTATACAGTATAACAAATTATATAATATTATATAATTTGCTTTGATTTAACTAATTATAATTGTAAATATTAGAAATCTAACAAATAAAAATTAGTAATTTTTATATTATCTAGGCAAATTTTAATCAACCTAAAATTTAATAATAGATATTTTTTAAATAATATAAGATTCAAAAATTTTATCATAAAGAAAAGGTTTTAATCTATATAGTATGAGGTTTTGGTTGTAGCTTTAAAAACTTTACTAATAGCATATGTTGAATTTTTGTATAAAAAATTTTTAACATGTGAGATCATATGACAAATAATCTACACTTCTTTATAACAAAAAATTTTGATAGAACAGAGGCTATTATTACATAAATAAATGTCATAAAAATATTATATATTAATAATAAAAAATCAAACCGGTAGAAGCAAAAACCTTTATATAATCGCACAATCTGCATGGTACGGACTGCGTGATTATAGAGAACAACTATACAATATTTTTGTAAAAAAAGTTTTTAACCAAAATTCCAATATAACCTTTATATGTATAATTCGAGGTCCTGGTGGTAGTCAGTTGCGACTGATTAATTGCAAAATTTTCGACCCGGAACACTACACAGCATCAATAGAATAGTCACTTGGATACATCACGTCTTTTTATAAAAATTTCCAATAATTAATTTTTACTCAGATTTTAAACAAATTGGATAGTAAATGGATTTATTAATTTTATAATAAAAATATAAAGATATAAAACAAAATATATATTATTAAATAATAATTTACAAATTTTATTTAAAGAAATGTGCTAAAGACGCTTTTATGCAGACGAATTCGCATAAAATCGTGATTAAAAACACATAAATTTGCTTCGTTTTGCCATGAGTTTTTCCATTTGATTTTCCAAAGCAATTCTTGCCCGTTCTGATTTTTCTTTGGCCTGTCTCTCTTCTTCTAATACCTTCTCCATAACTTGTTTCTCATTTTTAACTTCAAATTTAGTGCTTTCTATTTCATCTTTTGCTTCATCCAATTGAGATTTCAAACTTTTAACTTGTTTAACCAACTCCATTTTTTGGTTTTGGATAATTGCCAATTCTTGTTTGGCCAAATTCAAATTGATCTCGTTTTCATTTAAAGTAGATTCTAACGTTTCAACAAGTTGTTGATTTTGCAAATTTTCTCCTTCAATCTTTGCAATTCTTTTATTTAGCCTTTGAATCTCTAACACAAGATCTGAATTATTTGGTACCACTGATTCTGAATGGAAGCATTCATGTTTCGGCGAAAGTGGCGTGCGAGGACGTGCTACATTTGGAGTTGTAGATCGTGAAATAGGACTATTAGGAGTTAGTGGTAATGAAATTGGTAATGGTGGTAATGGGTGACTTGGTGGTGGCGTAGGCGGTGGTGCATTTGTTAAATTGTCTGAAAGATGTTGAATGTTCTTTTTGATATCTGGAGGTGCAAATAAAGATGAAATTGTCGGTTGCACTTGATTTTTATGGAATTCTTGTAACTCTACATCAGTTTTTTGCATGGATCTCATGTCATCTTGGTGTGAAAGTGTATAAACATCTAAATTTGCGTTATTTGTATCAAGTGAGCCACGGTTTGTAGCATCAACTATGGGTTCTAGATTTACTTTTTGCATCACTTTCCTAAGGGATTCATTTTCATTTAAAAGCCGTGAAATTTCTTCCTTTGCTTCTTTATTTGCTAAATATAAAATACGTTCATTATTATATTGATGATTATAAAAATCTAGTATATGTTGTGCAAATTAAAATCTGCGTCGGATTAACAACATTATAATTCCTAATAAAACTCCACATTTAAATTTTTGGTCTGACACAAAGTTTAATCTGATGCACAACATATACAAAGCAATCAATTTTTACCATACCTGTTGATGATTTAATTTTCAATTCTGAAATCTCCTTTTCACGTTTAATGATTTGATCATTCAATTCTGCCACTTGAAGGGCTACTTCATTTCCACCATTTGTAAGAGACCATAATTGCTTCATTAAGGACTGAACCTTAGCTTCAAGTACCTTACATTCTTCAAAGAAGGTTTCATTTATTTCTTCTAATTCTTTTAGTTCTTTTTTAACAGCATCAAATTCTATAATCTTTTGTTTCATATCTTCAAACACTTGCATATCTTTCGCAGTGAAACATGAAAGTTCATTTTGCAAGTTTTTATTTTGGTCAGTTAGTGTAGATGCACGAGCTTCCAATTCAATAATCCTTGCCATGAGTTCATCGTTTGCACATGTGAGTGAATTTATCGTAGAATTTGCGAATTTTGCGTCAAAAGATCTTGATGTTTCAGTTATTTCAGTTGAGCCGTTTAATTGGAGAGTTGGTGTCATTGTTTGTAATTTTTTGGCTTCATTTAGGGCTGATTCCAAGTTTTCAATACGAATTTTTTGCTGTTTAGATAATTCATCAGCATTTTCAAATTTACTGGCAGCATCTGCAAATTCTTCTGCCAATGACTCAAATTCCTTTTTAAGTTGAGTCAGTTCTTCGGTTGCATTTACATAAAGTTCACTTTCTTGTTTCTTTTCAGTTTCAAGCTGTTGAATCTTTTCTTCAAGAACTCCAATTTGTATTAAATGTTCTTTTACTTGACCTTGGACTTCTTTTAATTGATTGGACAACATATCATCAATATTCTTTTGTTCACGTTGCATGGCTAATTGAGACTGAGAATCTTCGACTTGTTTTTGCAAGTCCAAATATTGTTTCTGCATCAAAGTAATTTCTTCATTGGCCTCTTTGAGCTTGAGAACTCCCTCTACTCTTTGTTCTTCAACTTCCTGAAGTTTACTTTCAAGACTTGCTATCATTTCCATGTGTATTAATTCTGATTCTTTAATTTTTTCAAGTTCTTCTTTTGAATTCTTCATTGCTCGTTCTAACTCTAAAATATTATCATTTTTAACTTTCAACGTTTCCTCCAAATCTTTAACTAAAGCTGATTTTGCTATTTCAGCTGCCCGAGCTTCTTCCAATTCCGCACTTATTTTTGCAATATTGGCATTTGAAATTTCGGCATCTGCACAAGTTTGGTTTTGAATCTGTTCCAATATCTCTTCAAGCTCTTTAACAAGTATTGATTGTTCTTCGGCCATCTTTTTGGCAGCTTCGAATTCTTCAATAGAATGACTACTTCCCAACCTGAAGGCGATCTCTGATAGTTTTGCTTCTACTTGTTTTACACGTTCTTCTGCTTCATGTTCAGACGCTTTAGTCTTTTCAAGTTCTATTTGTGTTTTATGTATGACAGCTTCCAACTCTGCAATTTGAAAATCTTGTGTGGTCAATTGTTTTTCTCTTTCCATTAACATCGTATTTGTCTCGATCAATTTATCTTGTAATTCTGTAATGAATTGTGTATGTTTAACGTCTGATAACCTTGCATCATCTAGTTGTGATTGAACTTTCATAAGAGTTTGTTCGAGATTGGTTATTATTTTCTTGCTTTGGAAAGAAGAATCTTGTGCTTTCGCAAGTTTTGTTTCTAGGCTTGAGAGTTTTGATTCAAAACCTGCAACAGTTTCCTTATGAATAAATTCTTGTTCTTGAAGTTTTACTGCCAACTTTTCCCCGATTTCAATATGATGATCACGTTTTTTCTCTATAGCCATCATTTCGGTTTCAAGTTCAGCCAAAATTTCATTTTGAGCAACCATTTCAAGTTTAGTATTAGCTAACGCTTCCCGTAAAGCAATTACATTCTTGTCGGTGTTTGTACCAGCAATTTTATACGTTTCTATTTCTACTTCCAAAGCTTTAACTCGTTTTTTGTTCATTATCATATAATTTCTGAGTTGAGTTCAATTTCTCGGACAATTTTTCTAACTCACGAGCAGATGAGACATTTATTTCTTTTGCGGTGAATATCTCTTGTCTAAGACTTATTACTTCTTTTTCAAGTGATTCGATAACTTCATTCTGATGACTAATTCCTTTTTTCATAAGTTCCAGTTCGTTCTTAGAAAGTTCTTTGGATTTTCTGATTTCAGAAAGTTGTAGTTGTAATTGTTCAATTGTATATTTTTGTTCACTTTCTATTTTTTTCAAATTACTTATTTCTGCTTTTAAAATTTCAAGATTCGAAAGTTGTTCTTGGGAATCTAAAAGCTTGAATTTTAGGTCTTGAATAGTTTTGTTAAGAGTAACTTTTGAATTTTTTAAGGTAGTTATCTCATCCTTAAGGAGGGAAATATCAGATTCACCTTTTATTAATCCTAAAGATGTTTCTGTAAGTTCAGTGTCTTTTGATTGCTTCCATTCGTTGCTATGAATATCTTTAATTTCCTCAAGCATGCATTTAATATGATGAATATCATTTACGGTTTGTTGATTCAAATTCAATTCAAGATTACGTATTTTTTCTAATTGTTGAGATTCTTTAAATCTCATCTCTGCCATTTCAAGCTGTAGTGTGCTAGCTAAAGTTCTATCTTCAATGTTTTTTATTTTTATTTCTAGAGCTTCTATTGTCCTGAGATGTAAAATTTTGGACTCTTTGGCTAAAGCTAGATCAGTTCGAAGTTGAAAAAGAAATTCATCAACATGTTCACCTTTCTCCAAAATTCTATTTTCTAATGCCATTATTCTGTTCTTTTGCATTGACTCTACACTTCTCAAATAGTCCAATTGTTCTTGCAATTGAGACTCTTCAGAATCACAATCTATCCTACTTTTTAAGAGTTGAAGCCTTTCAAGGGCGATAAATTCTCTTTCACGAACATCTTGAAGTTCTTTTCGTAAACTATCTAACTCATTTTGAAGAACTTTATTTACATCATCACCACTCGTTAAGTTACTTAATCGTCTCTTTAATTCAGACATTTCTTTCTGTAAATTTTCTTCTTGCTTTTGCATCTGAGAAAGTTTTTTTTTTAAGTTTAAGGTTTGAGCTTCCTTTTGAAATAACTTTTGTTCAAGTAGATTATTATCCACTAGATCTTTTTTCAACGTTTCAATCACATCAGATTTTTTTTTTGAATATCATTTTTCAAATTGTCAAGATGTTCTTGGAGAACAGATGCGAAATCTTGCTCAAATTGTAAAGTTTCAATAGTCTCAGACTTGGCATCAAGTTTATGTTGAAGAGTTGTTAGTTTTTCTTGAAGAATGTCAACAGCCCTTTGTGAAGAATCAATGTATGATTTAACTTGCATTTCTTTTGTCATTTCTAATTGAGCTTCAAGACTTCCAACTTTTTCTTCCAATGTTTTTTATGTACACATCAGAAGATTGTTCCAAACAGTCACTGACAATCTCATCTCCGATTTTAGTCTCTTCCCTTTCAGACGCCACAGATAACTTGTTTTTTGCTTCAACAGCGAGTCGTTGAACTTCTTTCAAGTAATGTAATTCATCTTCAAGTCTTTCAATGATATGTTGTTGATCAATTGATGGAGATTTTAGGACAGCTATAACATGGCCTTTTACTTCAATTTCATTTTGAAGTTTGCTCACTTGTTGTTGAAGCATCAAGATGATATTGGCCTGTTCCGTTTGTTGTAATGCATCGAAAGGAGTTTCAACACCCTCATTAAATTGAGATCGTCCAGTAGCTTCTTGTTCCTTTATTAACTGTTCTTCTAGTTCCTTCAATCTAGATTGTAACCGATTCACAGTATCAACATGTGATTTATCAGAATCTTGATCACACTCTAAAATTCGATGTATATCAGCTTTAAGTTCTACGATGCTTGTTTGTATCCTTGTTACCGCATCAATATTATAATGCTTTTTATGTGCGGCAAGAGTTTCAAGTGCAATCCTTTGTTCTTCTTCGAGATGTTCTATTTCTTCTTTAAGTTTTTGTATGAGCTCATGCTGATTGGTCTGGCTTAGGGTCGTCATTGAATAATTTCCATCTGTTTGAGTATATTCTGATATAACTGCAGAAACAGGTCCCTGTTGTCCCCTAGCATCTCTATGCTTTATTTCTTCCCTAAGTTCTTCGACTATTTCAAGAGTTTCACGATAGTTAATTTCAAGCCGAGCAAATTCTTGCTTCATAGTATCTAAACCACGTGCTTTGTCAGCATGAAGAACTTCTAATTGTCTTAATTCTATTTGAAGATTTTGAATTATCGCAGCATTTGTGAGATCATGTTTCTTTGATCCCTGAATTTCTGCTGATTTTGATCTTGCCTTATGATAATTCACATGATGTCTTGGAGAGTAATCTAAGATTTCACTTATATTTTCCGAGATTATTGTTGGGGCAACGTCTGAATTATCGGGTGAAGTCATTGATGATGACTGTTTACATTTTTTTTGCTTCATCAACTTGAACATGAAGGTTAGTAAGTTCTTTAAGGCAAGTTTGGTATTTATTCTTGATATCTTCCAATTCGCACATTGTCTCATGGTGTATCTTTTGAAGATCACTTAGTTTTGATTCGAGTTGCGAAACTGAAGAAAAATCTTTAAATTGCATTATTGATCCAAATTTAGGTTGATCAGTAAAAGATACATTATCAACTGATGATAAAGATGACGACCTAGAATGATTCTCTGAGTGAGAATTGCAATTAGCATCAGCATGAGATTGTTTTAAACGTGCGATTTCGTTGACCAAATCATCAACTTTCTTTTCCAACAATGAGATTCTATGATCTCGCATTTCAATTTCTCCAATTAACCATTTCTTTTCCTCATCATTAATAATATGTTGCTTTTCTAATCTCTTTTTTAAAGAGACATATGCTTCATCCTTTTCGCATAGTGCCTTTTCAAGATCTTTTGCAGTTTGACTTGCTGCAGCAATTTGATTCTCATTATATTCCAAATGTGTTTCAATAGAATCGATACGGTTTTCAGTATTTCTATCTTCAGCACTCATTTTGTTGATTTGATTTTTAAGTTCATTAATAATTTCTTGATCTTTCTTTTTAACCATTACTTCAGAATCAAGTTTTGCTTCAAGGTCTTTTATATAATTCTCAGTTGATTCTTCTCGTTCAGTTAACTTAGAAATCTTTGTTTTAAGGTCATTAATCAAATTTCTATTTTGATTATTAAGTTCTTCAGCTTCTTGTAGTTTATCTTCTTGTAATCGCATCATGTTTTCAGAATGATTTAAAGCTGTACGGACAAGTGAAAGTTGATTTTCAAGTGAAGTGATGGATTTTTCATATTCTTGAATCACAGGACTAATTGCCTTCTGGAAACTAGGCAATACACGTTGAATAAAACATGATTCGTCCTCGTCTTTTAATGATTCTAAATGTTTTGCCAATAAATTAATATCTGATAAATTACTATCTGAATTATTAGTGTTATTAACTGGCAAGTCTTTTGAAATTTTGGCGTAAGAACGTTGAAGATGGGACAATTTTTCTTCAAGTTCATCAATATCTTTATCTTTTTGATCATTTTGATTGATCATGATTCCATTAAGATCTCTCGTTGTTTGAGAGTCCTGAGTGTATTGTTTCTCTATCAATTGCATATCAAGGGTTGAAGAAGTTAAATCTGAAATAGAAGCGTCAGGGTTTGCCCTGGCAGATGCACGCAGTGCCCTTACTTCAGTTCTGAGTTTCAAAACAAGGTCCTGTAGGTGTTCCAAGTTATGCCACCCCACCTCATGATGAACTACAGAAGTATTCTTGAGATTTCGTGCTTGAGTTGCATAATCCAAGGTATTTATAGTTTCCTTGATTTGATTTAATGCAGGAGGGACACATGATATAACTAATGATTGAGCGTTATTACCAAGATAATCTTTGAGTATACGTGTATGTTTATACTCTTTATCAGGTACTTTTATTGACATTCCTTGAGAGCTAATAACATTTCCTAAAGGAAGGATGGCCGAATTAAGTGAATTATTTTCTTTTTCTTGTGAATTCACCAAGGTATTATTACTCTATAATAAATAAAATTATTAATAAGCAAGTTCATAAAAGGTTTTAAGACAAATAGAATAAATATTAATTGCATATCAGTAAATTGTACCATATTCTTCCAAGCCAAATCCACAAAATGAAATTTACTTGTTACAGCAATCCATTCACCATCATGATGTTTATTTGTCTTTATATCTTCCCTTGATTTTGATATTCCAAAATTAAATTTTGGAACGGTTGGTGGTATGTGACTAGAATTAGTTGGCATACCATTTAACGGGACAAACTTTTGCTGCGAAAGTGTCACCGTAAAAACAAAATGTCCTTGCGATGTGCCAGCATTCGTATCCGGTGTTGAAATTTTTCGGTTTAATACACCACGAGACAAAAGTCTGCAAAGATTTTTAACATTTGTTAACATATATTTATACGAAACGGGATGTTAAACAGTATTCTAATCATCACGTGATCGTGTAGAAATTACTGATTATCGTTATCAGCGAAGTTTATTGCCCGCTTATACCAATAAAACATCCTGTAAAAAAATAAAATAAAAATAAAAATTCAGTTACCCCATTATTTCTTCCACGCTGTTAACTTTAATCTCTTTTAGATTTTTCCAATGTATTCGACTATTTGAATCTTCACGAATAAGAACTTGAGAGTCTTTATCACCAAGAAGATCAATTAATTCATCATCATGTATTTCTACAAATGAAATTCTCATAACAAATTTTCTCGCTTTGTACTGAGCTGAATTTATGCAGGAGAACAGTGTGGCCATTGCTCTCGGAATTATACCCTTCGAATCGTTCGATTGAGGAATGTCACCTGACAACCCGAGTGTATGCGTTTTGCCTGATGACGCATGTCCATACGCTATGATAGTCGAATTGAAACCTGATACAGATCAAAAATTGTTTAAAAATGAATATCGATGATAATTCACATTATATTATATGACAATAATCTTTACTAATTAGTGATGCGCTAATTTTATTGATTTATCAATCAATACATTCAACTCTATAAATTCACCTATAAATTCACCTATAAATTCACCTATAAATTCACTTATAAATGCATGCACTATGTATACCTTCTTTAAATACATGCCAGGTTTCAATCCTCTCATAGAACTCTTAATAAAATGGTTTCATAAATGCACACTTTCTACAGATGCACACTTGTTTTTTTACCTGCTTCCAAAGGGTGCATTTACGGAGGATTAAATTGAATTCAGGTGACTAATATGAGTCCTAACACAATGTCGAAATCGAAATCGATTTCGATATGCATGGCTTTAGCGCATCTCTTAAATTAGTTGAACATAATCAAATAAAATTTTCATTGCGCGGTATCAAGATATTCTCACGTACCGTCCAAGAATTTATCCACCAAATTCATTACGGCACGATCATAGATCTCTTTTTGTGATGTTTCTGGTCCGAAAACGTGATCGAACATATACGCTTGTTTTCTTTCTCCTTGAACGGTGACTTGATTTGGAGTGAATGGTGTTGTAGAAAGAACATTTTTTTGAAGTGGTGCGGGTAAAGTAACCAGCTCATCAGCCGTTAGTGGTCTAATACGTAATGCTAAAAAAAAAGAACAGGATTACTAAATGATTCATTCACCATTACTAAATTTTGTGGTAACATACCAAATCGTACAGTAACGTTTTCAAAAGTGTTTATTTTTATTTTATTTTTTTACAGGATGTTTTATTGGTATAAGCGGGCAATAAACTTCGCTGATAACGATAATCA